AAATCGGGTCACTTTGATCCTGGTTGATTTTTGTCACTGGGGATCTGAAACAGTCACTTTTCTTGACATCACAGCAATGGTAAAAACAAAGAAGAATTACAGCCATATCTGTGCTGAACATTATCTCAAAACCTACAACTTCATTTCCAAAAACCTGATTTCTTAGGAGACCCATGGAATCATCACGTGTCATAGTCACCACGGGTAGGGCAGACCCAGCTTCCTTTGGCCTCCCACTACAACAGCCCGGAGCGGCACAGCTGTCGCCAGGTGTCTAGCCCGCAAAGGCTGGGCACGATACTTCCCTATCGTGAGAAACACCTAGGAGAACTGGATCGTGTTGCCAAGGAAACTGCTTTCCCTAGCGATGCTAAGGATGGATGGGTTATCTGTCCTGTCGGGCATGCCCGAGTCACAGTCCTCCCTGGAGGTAAACGGAGGGGCCGGATGCCCCCTGGAAATCTCTTCTAGCCTCAGGACCATAAAATTTAAAGAACACAGAAGAATTTCAAACCTTCCACTATCCACACACAGTTGGCCATTGTGAGTATCCTTGAAAAGATTAAACTATTCTAAGATACCCATTTGGCACGACTAGTGCCTAATGAATTAAGATTCAGACATTAACCCTTCCTTGGCAGTAGACCCTATTTGATTATGGTACATAGAACATAATATTGTCACCTACTAAAATGTTAAGACTATCAAGTGTAGATATTGTTTGGATATCATTAAATCATTCAAGGATAGACACTAAATTAAAAAGAAAAGAATGTCAGGCAATTTATTTCCTAGGTTGAGATATTTAAGTTTTCCCTCTTTAGGAGAATTCAGATTTGGGTTTTATTTCATTTCTTCCTTTACTTTTATACTTAAATAAAATTTCAAAATGGTATATAGATCTTTGAATTTGTTTTAAAGGCGGGTGGTTTTCCTGTGGCTAAGGAGGAAAGCTCGGTGGACAACATAAAAAGGAGAAACAAAACAAAACTGGGTAAATGATGCTACAAAGTTAGAAATTTGAATCTCATGTTTGATAGGTTCCTTTGTAGAGATAACAACACAACCCTAATAGGAGGCCTCACTACGGACCGGGGACTTCTGGTTTTACCGAGCACGGCAGTAGGACTTGATAAAGATCTCTGGTGGTAAAAGCTCCCAAATAATTTTTAAAGAGACATTTTCTAAAACAATTTCTTTCCACCCATTGATAATTAATAACTGTTAAGATAGTTCCAAATCAGATAAAAACATTGGGAGAAGGCCAAAAGCAAAAGAAAGGAGTGCCTAACAAACAAAGAGGCTACTCCGAAATTATAACTCGATCAGGTCACATAATTAACTTAGACAAAGGCAAGGACAATTTCTACCATAAATTTGTCTTCCTCTAAATCCTAGTCAATATAAATTATTTTAAAAATATTTAAATGGCCTCACACACTAAAATGAGAGTTACTGAACTGACTTGACCATCACCAGGGTAATGGGGAATACAAAGGGAATGACATCATTAGCATGTTTCATGCAAAGGTGGTCCAAACTACATTCTGTCATATTCCTATGAAACTTAATTTCTACCAGAAATTTTTATGAGATGAAATAAAACGACACACTAGAGTTGGCTTTCCTTGAATTATAAGCAAACATAAAGCACTAAATAAAAATCATTTACCCTGTCTAGTGATATACTTATCACAAGTGAAAGAAAACAGTCAATGTAACTTAAATTCTGAAACTATTTCATTTTCCATGACTATGACAAGTCCCTGTAGTTACTAATATTCCAGGCTATATGTTAAGTAGATTGAAAATATTGCATATAAACAATGAACTGGTTTAGGCTTTGAATCTGGTCATATATATACCTTCCTGTTTCCCATCATTTTGTCTGAATCACCATTGTCAGGATACAGAACCCAAAGCATTACATTTACTATCCAGACAACACAAAGTTGGACTAACCCCAGGACTACTCGCCGGGTAAACTGCAGGTCATATCAAGCTTTTGAGTTTGAATTTCTGGTAAGAAAGAAAATAAAAGCCCAGATACCTGCATTATTTCATTATTTCAAGTAAACTATGAGGGTAGTTGAAGTAAAACTTACAAAAGTGACTTTGATAGAGTCACACTGAATATGCAGATTTGGCAGGTAAAATATTAAAGAGCTCTTTTATATCCATATTCATTGCTTTTGAAAATAGGCTGTCATTTTAATATAAAATGTGTTTTAATCTTAAAAATAGTTTCTTTAGCATGCTGTAGCTCTGTGTTGTTATTTTTCAAAGCATCAGATGATTTTTAGATAGTAAGATGTATGGATGTGGGTGATGGGCAGCAGATTTGAGCACCAACTGGTCTGTGAGAGTGTCCACATTGCATCTGCCCTTCTAGGTTTTGGGCTGCCATTGGTGCATTTAGTTTTTCTAAGTATAATAAAATTCTGGTTTTCCAGCTCTCCTGAAACTTTATGGTTCTGAGGAGACACCCACTAAATAGGCTTATATTCCATCCTCACCCCACCCCAACACTTGCATAATTTTACTGAGTTTTCAGATTGCTGATATTCAGTTAAATTAAGTCAATTACATTCTTTAATGCTACAGAAAACATCTGATCAGCAGTGCTATTTGTGCAAAGCTGTGGCTTAGGCATTAAGTTACTTGAGCGTAAGTTAGAGCAGCTCACAAAGGATAATGCAATCAGTAGTTGCACATTTGTTTCAGAACTGAGAGGGATGAGGCTTTAAACTTTTGGTGTTGGCTGTGGTAAGGATACATAGATTCAGTTTCAAATAGTCAAATCGTGCCTTTGAAAGCACTAAGGAATTTCCCGTGTTGGCATTTTGTAAACTGGATACAATAATGACAGTCCTCTAAATTCTCTGTAAGCGTGTAAGGAGCAGATGCCATTTTAAAGAGAAAGATTAAGTCATGTTTGGAGTAATGGAAGGCTTCCTGGCACCTTTGAAAAGGCAGTCTCCTGGTGACTTCTGAGAATGTCATTTTTTCACCTGCTAATGTGAGGTTTTTAACCTCAGCTAAGCTAGGGGGCAGAATGACCTCCCTGTTTTCTATGGGCGTTTGGCACTTGGAACTAGGGTTTTGCTGTTTTTGACAGGCTGTTTATAAATAGAAGTAAAAGTGATTGCGCTCCACATTGTTGTCTCAAAGGTTTCCTGAAACGTTCCCTGGGTTATGCATGAGTCAACCAGCCTTTGAAACTGTCTGTTAGGAGTTTGCTGGTATAAATTTAGTAGCAGTTATATGGGTCTAACCAGCTGAAGAAGCAATTAGCTGAAATCTCTTCTCCATTTGATTCAGTTCTTCTAGCTGAGTCCAGATTTAATTCATAAATTTCAGATATGGGGAGAGGGAAGGAGCATTTAGTGAGTTCCATTAACTGTGGAAAAAATACCCTTTTAATTGCAGTTTGCATATGATTAGACAAGAATTGATACCTTTTTCTAATATCGATTTTATAAGATCATAAATTAAAAGGATTGTAATGAATTGTTTCATGCCACACTTCAACATCATCATAATCCCGTAGAATTTGTAGTGTTTTTCTCCCTTCTTTTTACCACTTAGGACAGTTCTTCTAGCATAGTAGGTGTTCAACAAATAGTTGTTGAAAAAATTGATACTTCATAAATGCCAAAATATCAAGGCCAAAGAGTTGAAACCTTGGACAGCAATAGCGAGAGTTTGATTAAAGAACCAGTGATACATCCTGTTTAATGATAACCAAACCAGAATTTTGCTTAGGAGTCATCTGAGTGTAAAATTTTAAAGAATATAAGTACTTATCATCTCTTAGATTCTTGATTAATTTCTGGCCAGTGTTTGTGTGACTCATAATTTTTTGGAGGGAAGCGGTATTGGGGGCCCTAAGTTTGTGAAGATTTTATCACTCTAATAAACATTATTTTCACATTTTATATGTGGCTGGTACACTGCAAAAAGTATAGTTTCATCACAAAGAAAGGATTCTTTTTCAAAAAGTAACTATATTATCCAATTAACCAAAAGATATGAGACAAATGGATTTTACTGATGTCTTCATAATCACTGATCAAGAGATGGGGGAAAAGCTCAAGTAAATCTTGTGCATTGACTTCTTTCTCTCAGAGGAAACCTGGAATGATAGAAGGACTGCAAGCTGATCCAGCCACTTGACTTGGAAATCAATTTGGCCTGGATTAGAACTGGGAATTAAGCCTAATAAAAGGTATAGGGCTGGTGCTAAAACAACAGGGACCCAAGCAGAGCAGCTTTGCCATTGACAGTGAATGACTAAAAAGCTGTGTGTCATACAGGACTATAATTTTGTTAGACATACTATGCGGGCAATACAACAGCTGCGGGTCAGGTTATTATGTCTTGGAATAAGGATCTTAAGTATCCCAACCAGATGCATCTAGTTTGATCCCCATTTTAAAAACCTTAGAAAAACTGTAGTGCTTTCCTGGCATGTGGGCAGCTTTTGTGGACTAGAGGGCTATTTATGGGGGAAAAGAAAAAAACAGGTCAGATGGAACACTGTGCTCTCTCAGTCTTTCTGGAAAAGGAAGTAAAAATGAAATGATCCTGCCATTTGTATTATCTGTAACTTTGACCCAATATTTTTCAAACTACAGCTTTAAACAGTATCCTCTCTCCTAGATTACATTTTTAGATTGTTAAGGCCCAACCAGCTTCCAGGGAGAAACATTCAGTACTCATTTTTGACCATTGCCTAAAATTTGTCACTCTCCAGTGTGTGATATACATCAGTTTCGTGTGTGTGTGTTTAGGGGCTGGGTTCTGTATAGGAAAATTTGGACTGAAAGCTGCCACGGATGGAAGGTTAATCCATCTGTGTAGCAGTGACTTCCAACCCCTACTGGACAGATGGGGCGGAAAGCTCTGGGTTATTTTTTTAATCTATTTTCTAGTATAAGCATCCTTTTGGACATGAAACTGCAAAACAGAGACCCAGCCAAACCAAAACAGGTAGGCATCAACCTTCTTGTGAATATAAAGCTGAATTAAATGAAATATCTATCCTTTTAGAACTTTGACTGACATTCCACCCTCCAACTCTGCCGCAGCTGGAGTCCTCTCTCCCTTACTCTGCCGCACTCTGCATTCCAGTCCAGCAAACACGGGTCTATGATTCCTTCACGTGCTTGAATGAGGGAACAATGGCCTCTGCTCATTTTCTCTCTGGGCCTGTGCTCTTTAGATTGTATTGGTAAGGAGAAAAATTTGGAGATCAAATACTAAAAACTGTAACTTTGTAGACAACATGGGCTATACTAACAACATTTGAGCAACACCCCAGTCTGATTAGCCCAAAGGCTTATCATTCAAAAGGAACCTTCCCGTCCTCATTACTGCTCCCTCCAGAAGGACAAATGCAAAGCTCCTTTAATGTTAACATTTATAATGTTATAAATTTGGCCCAGCGGTGGGGTAGAGACAGAGCAGGAACCAACTGCACAGTGAAACAGCTGCCAAGTAAACATGTTTTTCCCCAAATCAAGTTTTAGTAGAAACTCTTCCATTGGAGGACTTTCTCTAGATCAAGCATTTTTAAGTTCAATTAAATAAAAGAGTTTTTTAAGGAATAGAGATCTACACTACATTCATATCCATATCTCTAAATATCCAAGTCTAAAAGACATAAAAATTAACTAGTGAATACAGTCACTGAATTGCAAAGGCATGTCAACATTTCAAAAAAGGCAGAAAATGTGAAATGATATAACAATAGAAAGTCAAAAATATGAAACAGAGTTAGCATAGTCATATTGCATTGGAAAAAGGAAAAAACGGCAGAGCACACTATCTAGTTACCTAATTTACAGGAAAATTGGGATCTTAGAAGTCCTCCGAGCGCAGATAATCTAAAGGTGGGGAGTGCATGTTTTATTTCTATCTGTCCCCTTTAACAAGAGAACATGAGGTAATTAGGAAGTATTCAATGCATTCTGGACTGTTCTGCTAATTGTCCCGGGCAAGAGAAATCAAAATGCTTCTTGTGAGTAAGGCCTAGCTGAGTGTTTGGAAAGAGGCCCCCCCTTAATCAGCTAGTCACTAAGTAGAAATCTCATCATACACTCATTTTGCAGAGATAGATTGATCACGCTGTAGAAAGGCTGGTTGCTGAGGATGTGTCTCTTCCACGTGTCCTCAGCCTCCTCTGCTTTAACCGAGTTAGGCCTTCAGAGTGGCAAAGGAGAATAGGTCATTTTTTTCTTTATAAAGTATCATTGGATGACCCCTCTACATTAATTATATGAACCTTCTAATAGTTACAGTCTTAAAAAAATTTCTTTAAAATTTTTCATCTCAAAGAGTTCTCAGTCCCCACCCCTCACAAGGTACCATAAAGGGGCACTAAAGTGCATCTCGATGTAGGGGAGTAGAGTTTAAAGGTGCTGTCCCAGCTAAGAACCAAGATGATGCTGTTTAAAAATGAAAGGCCATTCCTTCCACCTCCATCTCTGGAGTCAACTGAGGGAGGGTAGTGAATTAGACCCTCACCAGAGGATTGTCCTAAGTCTTAACTTTAGAGGAAACTGTGTAAGGACCTGCACGTATAGACTCATTTATTTGTCCAAAATAGCAAAAATAGGCCTATTTCACCCTTAAGAAAGTATTTGCAAATCTGATCAGTCATGATCATAAAAACGCGAATGGATTCCAGATGCAATCCATGTGGGCATGCTTGGTGGTACTAACTATGCATCTTCAGCTTAAAAGAACATGCTGCTGTTCATTTTAATCAAAACATGACTTCTAACTACCATAAATAAAATACACATGGAACGGTTAAATCTTTTGCTTACAATAATTACTTTTACATTAAAAAGTCACCATCATCTTCAATTAAATATCGAAAATTAGGATTCTCTTCTTATTATTTCCCAGTCTTAGTCAACAATCTTGCACAGGCCCGATAATCCAAAACTTGGAGATCTGATCTACACAGCTTGGCAGGTTTCACACAGCTTGACAGGTAGGCAACTGTGAGATATGCTTTTTTAAAATTAGCATTTTTCTATCAAAACAGTCGGACATCTTTTAAAATCCTCAGACACTGTATTTGTGCAATGCCACAGTCACGTAGCTAGAAAGGATAAAACAAAATACAGTCTGGAAGATTCACCACGGTCCAAATTCTCTTGGTCCTCAGTTTCTAACAACCAAGAGCCCAGGAAATCCAATTAAATACGGTGCTTTAAATAGGAGAAGAGGTGGTCTGGAAATAACTTACGCTACTAAACAGGGACACTCTCAACCACCGGTGATTTGATGCACTCTTCGTGCAGTCTGCTCTTTTCTGCGAGGCTCAGAGAATTTTCAGCAGGATGCTCTGAAATGCAACTGTCACCATTCAACGCAGAGACAAAGCCTTCCTGGGAGGGGCCTTTCAAGTAGGAGTGAAATTCCACTTGAGGATGGTTGGACCTGTGTTCCGGATACAAGCTACCGCAGGGCACACCGCTGTCGCTCTCTGAGGAGGAGCAGCAGACGATGACAGAGGGGTTGGCGGCTGGGTAGTGGGCAGGGCCGTAGGCCTCCTCTGCTTGGCGGGCATAGTCAACAAATTGCTCCGGGGTCATGGTGTAAGGCACCAGCGA